CCCTCAGGTACTCAGTCCCATTGCTTATCCATACGCCCAGATATTTGTATTTATCTGCTATCTCTAGCGAGACGTCCTGTATCCTAAGCTCACTACCTTCGTTGTCATTGAAAATCATGACTGCTGATTTTTCCCTACTGAATCTAAAATCTAACCTATCTCCCTCATTACCGCAGATGTCCATCAATCTCTGCAAATCTTCCTCGTTGTTGGCCATTAGCACTATATCATCTGCGTACATTAATGCTGGTAGTGCCTGATCAATAAGTTTTCCTTGTTTGACTAAAGAGAGGTTGAAGCCCAGCCCACTTCCCTCTAATTTTGCCTCTAATCCTTGTAGGTACATCATTAATAATAAGGGTGACAGGGAGCACCCCTGCCTAAGCCCCCGTGTTACCTCTGCAGGCTTGGATACCTGTTTTTTCCCACTTTATAACTACCTTGTTACCTTTATAGATACCCTTTAAAAGATTAGTGACTACATGTTCCACGCCTAGTGTGTCCAGTATTCCCCACAATTCCTCTTGAACCACGCTATCGTACGCTCCCTTGATATCCAAGAATGCTAGCCACAGGAGCCTGTGTTCCTTTTCTGCTATTTCGATGCACTGCATCAGTGAGAACAGATTGTCTTCCAACCTCCTGTGTTTCCGAAACCCATTCTGCAGTTCTCCCAGCACCCCCTCATCTTCTATTCATGCCTGCAGTCTTTCCTTTATAATCTGCATCGCCAGCCTGTAGACCACTGATGTCACTGTTATAGGACGGTAGTTGTTTATGTCAGCTTTGTCCCCCCTTCCTTTATAGATCATGCTCATCCTGCTAAGTTTCCATCCATCGGGAACTTCACCATCGATTATTATTTGGCTCACTGCCTCTCTCAAAGCCTGCTTAGACTTCGGACCTAATGTCTTTATCAGCCTAATTGGAATGCCATCTGGGCCTGGAACCCACATTAAACGCGCCACCTCGCGGTAACCGGGTGTGTGAGGCGATACTCGCTGGTTTTGCTGGGGAGCGCGGCGATTGGGACGGCCGGAGAGAACCCCGCCGCGCGCTCGCAATTTTGGAGGCCATGCGCAGGCATACCCTCTCCCGGCGCACAAGGGAGGGTAAGCCGGGGTCGTCGTGGGAGCACAAGAAAATGCACTACCGAGGACAGACAACATGGCGCTTTTACTACCAAGGCTACCAAGCGAGGGGAAGAAGAGGAGCCTAGGTGCACACGGGCACGAACGGCGCTACTTTAGTTAATTCTAGGGACGTTAGCTTTGAAGAGCGTCGCCCCGCCTGTTTTGCGTCGCGGACTCGCAGTGCATGAATGGAAGCTGGAGTGGACCAGTGCGCTTCTGGCTCCGTGCGTTGACCTACATGGCGTGGTCGCCTGTGCTCGCGCGCGCTTAACAGGAGGATCATAGCTTTGTACGTGTTGTACAATGCTATGAGGAATTGAATCCCGGCTGCGGCGGCTGTATTTTCGATGGAGGCGAGAATGCTGTTTGCCGGTGTGTTACGATTTGGGTGCACGTTAAAGAACTGGCCGAAGTTTCCGACCAGTTTGGAAATTTTGGTCGAAATTTCCAGAGCCCTCCACTAAAGTGTCTCTCATAACCGTATCGTGGTTTTGGAACGTTAAACCCCACGTATTATTGTGTTGTACTATCATCGCAAAGTTTTTATTGAAGCCATAGGCTGCCCGAAGGCAACTTTGCTCGCTACAGCGGCTGTGTTTGCTGCAAGAGGGAGCTAGTAGCCCTTACGGGGAAACCATGGCTTTAATATTATGCCATTTCAAGTTCTTAAATAAGTCTGCCTTGATCTGACCAGCTCTGAGTGAACAAAACACAAGTGGTGCAAACACTGACAAACACGCTTCTACCAAACGCGACAACCATCGGCGTGGAACAACGCATTCGTCTAGTGTCACGACATGATTACAGAAGGCAATGCACCGCCCCTTCTCCGCTTTACACCTTCGTGCAAAAGCTATATGCACCTACGTTTATATACCTATTTCCTAAATGCTATATACCACTTCTTCCACTTGTCCGTACCATCTAATACGCAAAACACGAACTCTCTGATTCACTACGGTATACAATGCGAAAGAACGTCTGTTTCATTGGGAATGGTGCCAATGGCGTAGTATACAATCCTCACCACCGTTATAACCACGGTGCTGCTGCCGTGCCCTGAGGGTACGGGGGCACATGGTAAAATTGTATTGCAGTATTGCCAACCTGCCACAAAGCATTTTTTCGCTGTTGTTATTGGTCTATCTTCGGCAGCTTTCCGTCGTGATCGCGAACCGTGACATGCATGCCATGGTTCCCGATACTCTAGAGACGGGCGTATCCCTCCTCTTTAAAGAAAAAAAGAAGAGACACGCCATGGGCGGGGACGGTACTGCACATATCGGGTCTGAGATTCGCGCAGCAGGGCTCAGCGTGGGCGCGTCACACTCCATCCGCCACAGAAGTGAGCCGGAAAGGCACTGGAGAACGTCAGGGTTGTCCTTGCAAGTGCAACCCGCGTGACTCTTCTACAACCCATTGGACCCGGATTGATCTCCTTGCGCTTATGCTATTACGATGTTTTCTTTAACTTTGGCCTTGTATTCATAAAGCGCAGGACCGAAAGGACGCGCGTGCGACAGCTCCTACGATGCGTCTTTGTATTCGATGGTTCAGCTCGAGGAAAACAAATTGCGCTTATATATATATATATATATATATATATATATATATATATATATAGGGAGAGAGAGATCATTTCGCGTCTTCTGCGTTCATGAGTAACACGAGTGCGTCCTGCTTTATAACTGACGGAGTAAGGCCATTTGCCTTTCCATCACCAAGACCCGCTCCCTCTCTCTCACCGTGCACATTTCGCTCCGGTCACTGCACAGGTGATCGATACATAAACGAGATTGGGAAATCTGGTGACGTCAGGCGCGTCGCACGGCCCTTCCTGCGCGAATGGGCTTCATGGGTGGACGTCACCACCTGTATGCGCAGTGTTCGATCTGTCTGCTTTTTGTGCAATATACCATCCTAACACCCCGCACGTAACCTTTCGTGGATGCAGTACTCAGTTTCCCTTTTCTACATACGCATAGTATTCAGACCAACTCCTGAGATGCCCGATCAAACGCAAAAGTGGCCATCGGCATCAAAATTGAATGACTCAGCCTTACTTTTCTAAGCGTATGCGGTGCAGGTGTGCAAAGGGTGTGGCGGTGTCTTGCACACTTTTTGCCACCACCCCTCAATACATAAGCTTATAGTGCAAGAAGAACGGCACAAGGTGGATGGCTGTGATGACTGTAAGAAAGAATTAAAGAATAGAGACACCGTGGAGCCCCATACAGTTGCGCCTTGCGTAAGGCGCACTTATGCGGGGTATGCGGAGATCATTTATGAACAGGGACAGATCCAGAGGGAGGCTGTATTAGGAATCGCCCCCCCCCCCCCTTTTCAAAGTCTGTGTCAACACCTCGCACCCACCCTTTCTGTCACCAATTAGGATAAATGAGAAACCACTGTGAGCACACATTAACGATAGCTATGCTATGAAGTGTTCTTTCTGCTAGTAAAAACAAAAAGTCATGACCAAGAACCCTTATCCAATGTTACTTCAGGTGACCGCCCCCCACCCACTAAAATGAGTCGATGGATGCACCTCTGTTCATGAGGGATGCACTGAATGAGCATTTGTGGAGAAAAAAACAAGTCGGAGACAACTCAATAGAAAAACAGACGCTGGTATTACTGAGGGACGTTAAAAGATATGCCAAGCAATATAGGTTTCAAGTTTCAGTATATTTTATGCTCCTCCCTCCCTACATTTAGGTTATTGCGTATTCTTCCTGTTAGGTTATTGGTTATTGATACACATGCTCGGGAGGCCCAAATTTCGAGTTCCGACAATCTCAGGCGTCTTGTGTTGAATACCATGCACGTATACCTAGAAGGTTTTGGGGCTTATAAACAGTTCAAAAAGCGACGATTCGATGTTCTACGCAACTGAAACTGGGAAAGCTCGAGGTTCGAGTCCCACAGTCGGCCTGTTGTGGGTTGGAGTCATGGTTTTCCATGTATTTAATACGGGGCCCCACACATATTCCTATTGGTCATGGTTTCCGACGAAAACACGGGGAAGCCGCCCGGGAATGTTTCACAAGAAAATAATGAGAAGCTTGCTGCTATCGTCTTTCGCTTAGTCGTTGCGTGCTCCATTTGGTGAACTGCATCATTAAAAATATGATGACCTTGTTATATTGTACAGCATTCCTGCTCCCAAATGAACTTACAAATCGCCGTTCCGAAGCTTCGCCTTCCTATGGATATAGGAAGGTGAAGATTTGTCGCGGTACACATTGCGTCAACACCCTGCTAAAGTGACTAGGCGACCGTGGCATAGCGCTCCTAATCACGAGGGCGCAGATTCGATCCCCAGTGCGAAATGCACAATACGGCCGATCACTTTCAGATGCGTGTCAACAGCCCGACATGGTCGAAATTCGGAGTCCCCAGCTTTATGGTGTTCCTCATAATAATCTACGTCTTGCACGCCGTATTATCTTGTATAATCCACTGTCTGTTTACAGTCCCTTTCAGAGTTTGGTTAACGTAAGTGAAGCATGTTTAAGCAATGGTTTATTGTCAAGCCTTGCCTAAATGTACAGTGAGTTTAGTGGTTTTAAAGCCCACTGTTTGTTTGAGGTTGATTTGATGATTACGACGGTTATGGTGATGATCGTGGTGGTTGCGCTGGTGGCGGCGGTTGTTGAGGCAACTATGATTACGATGAAACCCGGAGAAGGATTTCGGGAAAAAATTGAATACCATGCGATTCGCTCGACTCTTGGCCAATTCACTCGAGAGGATAGCTGCCACTAATCTCAGGATTATCAACCACCATCATAATCATCATGTCTGTGCGGTTAATGACGTAATCCCGCACTGCTATTAACGCGTATGTTCTCACTATGTGCGCAGAAAACCAGCCCAACATGTCGGCCACCTGCACGAGCGAGGCGTCCTCTGTGCGGGAGGTCTCTGGGTGGACGCTGCTCCTGTTGACACTGCCTACGGCGCTGCAACTCCCGCCGCTGCTGCTGTCCCTGCTACCTCTGCCCCTGGCGGCGGCGGACGCAACTCTCGCAGCGGCGGCGGCGGCGACCACATCCACAACCCTGTTCCCTCGCCGTAGGATATGGTGCTAACTGTTTACGCGCGGGGGGGGGCACGACACCTCGCAGACACTGCTCGCCGAGCGCAGACAACAACTCAACGTCAACCGGTACACGTCGGCTATAGGTCGCCCTACCGGTGCGTGTTCACCCAGTGCGATACCCTTGCGTCTCCCGACAATACGTGGACCCTTTGGTTTGTGTTCATTTGCGTTGCTCTTCGGCGGGACGTCACATTGCGAGCTCGTTGCGAGTCCGGCCTCAGCCGACCTGCTGCTGGTCCAGACAAGCACTCGATTCATCGCCCTTGATGACCAGCGTCGCTGCACCACCGAGCATCACGCACACGAAAGCGGATCAGCTGACTGCAGTCGCAGTCGGCTTCGCCGTTCGTGGACCTGCTGTGGATAGGCTGTGGATCGTTTGTCTGCCTTGCGTATTCTTTCGTTCATTTATGTCATTCGTATTTTTTTCTACCATTCTGCTTAGCTGGGCAGCAAAGTATGTTCACAACTCGTGGCTGAGGAATGCCTCGACAGACGCTGAAAACGGCTGGTGACTTGTTTATCGCTTCACAATCACGATGACCTCAGTCAGATTCTTCGCTCGCTCCCCAAGAATATTATAGTTCGGAAGTTGCCTCTTCGCTAAAAGGAAAAAAAAAAGAATTGATTTGTGGGGTTTAACGTCCCAAAACCACCATATGATTATGAGAGGCGCCGTAGTGGAGGGCTTCGGAAATTTCGACCACCTGGGGAGGAAAAAAAAAAGAATTATGCTTATACCAGTTTCAATAAGTCTTCGTTCAGGTGGCATATTGCGTACTAAGCATCATAATTGGCCTGCGTATGCAAACGCGCTTTAGCTGCATTTGAGGAAATCTTTATAGGGACAAACAACTAGCGCGTTTGAGCTTCGTCAAATACATAAGTACGTTTCAGGAACGACGATCAGGCTGTTACGTTCCGCAGAAATGGTCTTAACACTGACTCAAGCGATGTGACTTTGCTGACTTTTTCGAAGTATGACTCCGCTCTGATTCTTTCAAAAGCGCGTCAGCTGTCAAACGAAAATCGGTAAGTAGCTCAACCTGTACAAACCACAGGATTTTCCGCTGCATCAATGGCTACGCATCAAGCTTTCGAGGACAAAATTTATCAGTAATACTCAACCAGTTTGGCTGGTTTCGTACTGTAGCAATAAATACCCACCTGCAGTTGATATAGCACCCTATGCATTTACGCAAGACTAAGTACAACACGTATGTTGTCGAGGTTAAGAGCATTTTAATTGCGTTGGCTTTATGATATTGGCTTACCGCACGGACGTTACACGGTTGTTCATTGTGACGCTTCTATAGCTTGGAACCGCTTCTGGCTACATTCAAACAACAACTGCATTTGCGGACACCCAGCTTCCGTCTTACGCGGTCATCACTCTCGCTTTAATTAGCATTCGTTTAATAACCATCGCTTTATTAAATAGTCGCGCCGCATGTTCACCGATTGTTGCCCTCTTTTAGAAACACTGCCCAACTCCACCGCACTCTTTAACTCTTCGAGGAATCAGAGATGCCGCAGCCACCTCGTCATAAGCCAATCTCGGCTGACGTTATCGGATAGACCGAGTGTTCTGCAATTCCTTCCCCGGATATCGGCGCAGCCCTTAGCGAAGAGCAGTGAAAGACCTGGCGTAGGAAAGCAGGTCGGTGAACAAGCACAGCCGCCTTAGTGATGACAGTCAGTGAGTGGAAGCGAGGAGAGAGTGTCCGCAACAGACTTGGCTGAAGATCAACACTTGATAATAACTTGTCGCCAATTAAAATGTGACGTACGTTAGCGCCCACACATTGTTTTCATATATATCTATCTATAGTTCGTTTTCGTTTTGTGTTCTTCAAGGCCTGACGCGTCTGTCGGCGTACCCGCGGTGTCTATGCATGCTCCCAAGCTCGCCGTAATCAACTCGCTGTGTGGCCGGCGTTGACCGCCCACCAGGAGTTGTTCAAACTTCTTCCACTGTTCGCCGGACGGGTCCTTTTATGCCATTCACCAAGAAAGCGAGGCAGGAAATAGAAAAAAAAAAAGAAATGTTACGGAAAACAGAGCGTTAAGGAAGAGGCTAGCCTTTAAGCCGGGACCTGCTCAGGTCGTTAGCTTTGACGTATAATCGAGCATCATGATATATGCTTAACTTCCAGTGTCCTCGTAACTTGAATCTCTTGGCAACTGTCACCCCCCACAAATGAGATTATGATATAAGCGGTGATGTATAGGGTCGAAACTCGAGAACCACTTCATGCCTGATAAGCTGTCGCCCTGATAAGCTGTCGTGTTCATGGTGGCGCTGGAAACACTGTAGACAGGAAGGCGAGATGGTATCCGGTATATTTACGTCGCGAGTACGGGCGTGCGTTTCCTCACTTATCGCTGCAGTGGTCGTTCGAGACGTTACAACCATGAGAACTGGAATAGTTCACCAGCCAAAGACGGATCCGACTTTCAGTTTTCCGAAGACTGATCGATGACTGCACTATGCACTCCTGGATGTACTGATGAGACTGCAACATTACCCCTTCACAATTAAACAACGCCAAAAGAACACAATGAACAAACACGTTCACCACCTCTTATTGATCGGATGGATCGTCGGATGGTTTTCTGGGCTCAAAGCACAGCTCTTTTTCGTAACGAAATTAGTAGCAGTTGTGACGGGATTTCCAGCAAAAGAATCCCGAGAGCTTCACACCTCGCACTTCTTTGTACTCTTTTATGGCCCGTAATCTTACGAAAAGAGGAGGGAAGAGCAGGCAGAATTCATCTTCCGTGGTTTCGACCACTCCCTGGATCCATTTCACCTCAACAGTTCTGGAGACCGGGGAACGCTCGCAGGCAACAACAATTAGTGAAACGTGAATCCCCTCGCCGTCGAGCGCTGTGCCTTCCGTCCACGCAAACACACTGACAGAGGAGCCGAGTACGAGTGCGCTTGCTGAATCGTGTCGAAGAGAAACTTGATTAAAAGGCCCAACGAGTTACTCAGATGTTTCGGCGAATACAGTCAGGCATTTACTTAGCCTTTAGTCGTGTCCCCCAAGACAATCTTGTTCAATTTCGCCTTGAATAAAACAAACCAAACCAAACCAAATATCCCAGCCCAGACGGCCACGAGCTCTTGGAATCATGAAGGATCCCCCAGAACGCTGGTCTTCGAGGACGCTGGTGATCAGTGAAGTTCCTCTACGTGTGTATGCTTCGAGGCTGCGTCCCCGTCTGCAACGCCCCCCTGGTTCACAATCTCATAAGTTCCAGCGTTGCCCCGACCTTCGAGCAGTTGCATTTGTTTGGGGAATAGAACTCCAGGTAACGAAATATCAGGACTACTGGGTTTACAAACATTCGCATTCACATCTGTCGCTGCGCGACCACCACCAACTCGTCCAGCTTCTTGTGTGACAGCGGAAATTTGCATGTCTTGAACGGGAAAGAGGAAGACATGGTCACGCTCTAGTGTCTCCGGTGGTCTTGCGCAGTATCCGCTCGATTTTGCACCTTTATCCGTGTTTGCTCTCCTGGTAGATTCAAGAATAGCTTCACAGATTTCCTGTTGAGTCCCTCTTGTCAAAAAGAATCTGAAAAGTGGCACCTACTTTTGAACGAGGTTGTAACAAAGACGTCCACAAGTATTGACACAACAGTTCCACTTCCAATTACCTTCACAACATTACGTTAAAACGTGGCAAGGAAAAGTAAAATATGTTAACGTTTAATACGCATAAAGAAAGATAAATGACTCCTTGCCGCAGCCAGGCTCCGTGATAGTTCGAGCTCGAAGGAATGCACTCTTTTTGCTCTGTGCTGCTCTGTTTTACAAACTCCTGCTCAGAACACACGTCCATCGTTCTCGCCTTTTAAACCCTTCGTTAGAAAGCCTTCGTACGAGACGCCCCTAGTATTCTCCACCACTTTCGCGCTAAATAGAAGCGTTGAAAGAGAAGACTGATCTGTCAAGCTGCTACGGAGCATTAAAGTCTGAATCCTCTTCATCTTCTCTGTTCTCTGGCAGCAAGAAAAAAAATATTAGGCATGCGAACGAGACGAAAAGGTGTGAGAGATACCAAAGCATGTGATGAGGCAGAATATTCGAATGCTGTGCGTCATTAAAAGGTGGAATGAAAAGCAAGGCACCCAGCACACACAGCAAGATCCAAGCGTCATAGACGTCGCGCTCAGCTCTGTGGGCAAGATCGAAGTACCGTGCTGAGCCATCTGACTGTAAGGGGCAAGAGGATCAAGCGCTTTTGCACTCCTCTGGAAAGTACAATCGTCCAGAACGAGCGACAGTGTCAAGTGACGAACCTGTTGAAACCTCGCTCTTTGCTCCTCGAAGATTAAAAAAAAAGCATCTGTTGCCGTTCAACACTCTTAGGCAGTCGAATGCGTGAAGCTATGATTCCTTCTGCAGCCCTTCCACTTTCAAACAAAGTAAGAAAAGAAAAGACAAAGGAAACAAAGGGGCCAATTATTCTTTCCGACTCGGAATCGGTATGTTCTTCTATAACGAGGAACCGCGGGAAAAGAACACTTTTTTTTTTTAGACATAGGCACGAGAGCCTGTGAAAGCAGACAACTGGCCCTATACAACGCACGCAGACTCGCCGAGAACTTTTAATTTGCAAGAAAAAAGGGGGAGAGAATGAGGGTATGCAATTTATCATTCTTCGCAAGCAGTCCGCGAAATTAAAAAAAAAAATCTCATTTGGACGTGCAACCTAGCGAAGGACACCCGCGGGCAGAGAAGAAACGGCTGCCCTATCATATCTTCCTACCGTGTTTTTTTTTCCTTCTTGCTCAAAAAAAAAATCGCGCACCTTTTTTTTTGCTAAACGACATTGGACAGCCTTTTTTTCACGTCACCAGTTACTGGTGTTAATTTCTTTGTGAGAACTTTCGTGTATTAAACTTTGTCAAAGCAAGCTTCAAAATGCCTTGTCTCCAACAGAGTCTCATTAGAATCTGTTTTTATCATCTCCTTCACTTTCTCACTTGCTGTTTATGTTTATATCTCACTTGTGAACAAAAATTATCAGTGAACTGTCTCAAAAAAAATTTTTGCTTGATTTTTTTTTCATCCACAATGACAGAGAAAGGAAGCGCAGTTGCCAAGGGAGAAGAAATTTTCGACGGCAGTTCTTTGGCAGGCAGCTTGTTACGAAAATTGTTTCAACCAGAATTCTTCACTACCGAATTCATTGGATGTAGTTTAGGAGGTAATGTCGTGTTGCAAATTTCGTACACAAGACTTGGTGCATAAGGCCGCGATGCATCTTTGAGCAACCACCTTTAAGTACAGACAAGCTCGCAAAAATGGGCCCTAGCTATGGTGCATGCTCTTGCGCGGTTGCCGCACGGGATCAGGACTAAGCCTTACTGAGGACACGATAAACTAAAAGTACGCGAAGCAACGTACAAACGCGTGGGTACCGGCCTATCGGCGCAGCCGCAGAACGTTGCTGCAGAGAGCTTGCAACAAAGGCGTTTCTACTACGCGAGTCTCCCGACTGTACAGTGTATGCATATAGGTAAAACATCATCGCACGTACCATATCTCCTCACCGTGAGTCTCCAGTCCCAAACCCCTCCCTTTCCCCACCTGGACACATCATACCATCTGTCTTTAATATTTCGTCAAAGCGTCATACCTGCCAGGCTTGAGGGGAGAGACACAAAGATAAGCGTTTGTTGCTAGGGCTATGACATCTCTCACACAAGGAAACCAACCGTACCCCGGTGTAACCTGTATCCTCTCCACGCCCTCTCTTTCTCTCTGGTGTCTTCTATCATCTTCGGGTTCTCGCCCCGTGTGCGCATGTGCCGTATGCTTGTGTAGACATGCGTAGTGCGTGCATGCATTTCGCGTACGTAGAAAGGAAGGAACGAGGCCAATTGTCGAGGTGCGTTCCTTCCGTGCGGCTGCTTCGTTTTATAGCCACTGTCTGCACGGGGAGGTGCGATGCTCGGGCTTGTGCAGTCTCTCTCTTTCTCCCCCACTCTCCTCCCCAACGTCCGATTTCCACGTTATAGTTGGCCAATCCCTTACTTCAAGCAGCCTCCGCTAGGGAGTGCTCTTGAGTATAGCACGTTGATGAAGACTAAACAAAGCACCGTGTCACCGCTGTTACTCTATGAATGCGTGATGCAGTTTTTTTTTTGTTTTTTAACGGTGATCGCGGATACAAGCTGTTGCGTGACTGATTCTCGAGTCGTTCGTTTATAGCTATTCGCAGGAGAAGCGTCAGTGTTCCACATATATCTAAAGTATGCCAGTTGGGCCAAGTCGTCCCGCGTCATGAAAGTGTCTCTCGTATTAATTGTGGAGGCTCCCAAGAGTGTGTGAGATGCTTACCAGGTGATCTCAGATATCATTCTCATAACGTGTCAGTGCGCCGAGAAATCTTGATGACGATGTTACATTTTTTTCTGTGTTTTCTTTCACAGTTTTAGGTGATAGTATAGTGCCTAGAATGTGACGATACTCTAGGCACCATACTGACAATTTCACGGCATGTGTTCCTTAACAAAACGGTCCCCAAGTTGCAATACGAGGCAAGTTGTAGGAGGGCTTTAAAGACAAGCGATCAAAAGAGGGCATTTTGTACAGTTGGTGAATTAAGTTTCGACAATAGGTCTCACTAAAGCGTGCAATCACCGTTTCTTAACGAAGAACCTGAAGGTGCGGGTCCGAAGTTCTTATCGTGCATACTAGTGTTACCTGATGGACAAGCTTTTTTTTTTTGCTGCAAATTAGATCTTTTTTTGCCTCTGTGGGATCGTGCTTTCACGATAAACACGTAAGCACTGTTGTTTTGTGCTATAATATTTCTTTATCGCAATTTTGTGGGGGGGAAAACTAAAATAAAGTAACAGAGCTGCGGCGAAGTTCCACAAAATAAGAAGGTCCAGACGTTCGATGGAAGAAAAGGTCGCTTGGTGCGTTGTACACTCTACACGTATTCGTATCCGAGTAGATTCTGTTCTTGTTTCTATTTTTTA